TATACATTCCGCATAATTCGTTATAGCGTTAACGAAGATTCTTATAACGAAGTCCTGATCGGCTGGATCGGTAACTTCATTATATCGAGGTGTGACTGTATTAGTAATAAGAAATATTTTTAACATTTTATTTTTTTTTTACTTTTAGAGCTAGTATAAATTTTTTAATAATATACAAAAAAGATTTATAGATTATTATTTAAAAATTATCTAAAAAATGTATGAAAAAATTTTGTAAACATACAAATATTTGAAAATAGTGTAATTTTAATCATTATTTCACCTGTTTATATATTTTTTATCAATAAAATATGTTTTACGTCTTAATTTCATAAAATCTACACATCTATTAATTATAGTAATATCAATAAATTGTATAATACTATCACCTTTAAAGAAAATAATACTTAACGCATCCTTATTAACTTTATTTGACCATTTGACATTTGCTAACATTTTCTCTTGATCCATAAATTTATACATAAGAAAATAATTTACTTAGTCATAAAAGTTTTTTTAATAAATTCTGGTATTGCACTTGATATATAAGCCCACTTGTCAACTTTTAAATATACCTTATATATAAATATTATAAAGTATATTTAGTAAATTATTTTATATCATATATAATACAATATTTACAATAATGTTATAGTTAATTCAAGCCCAGTCTTTATTTCTACATATCTATTTCGATCTAATTAAATATTTATTTGAAGTTAACAAATGGCCAAATTTTATTCTATGAGTTTCAAAGTTCTAAGAATATAAATATTAATTAATATTATTTTATAAATAATAAATGGAAAATGAAATATATACATTTAATTGCATTCCTGCTACTCCTTTTGTCACGGAGAAGTGGTTTTATATTTTTTTAACTTCAAAAATATTGAGAATATATGATTTAGAAAGCCAATAAAACTTTTCATCATAATATTGATTTGAATAGATCATATGTTCTTTATATTCTTTATGAAGTAAAGGTGAAAATATACAGTATAATTATAGACTTTTTTGTAAAAATGTAAACCATTAAATAATTTTAATAAATATATATTATTTGTTAAATTCTTATATAGATAGAATTTTAACTTAACCAATGGTAACAATATGCCACAAACATGCTTTATAGGAAATTACTATATTGCCCAACATAAACTAGTATTTTGAATACTATCAGCAACATATAACAAATAATGAAAACATATTTTCATTGCACTTAATCAAGTAGTCAAGTACTGATAATAATAACTAGGAATAGAAAATAGTATATTAACAAATGAATAATAATATATTATAAATAAATAATATAACATATCACTCATAATGCTTATAAAAATCTAATAAGAAGTTTCTAATTTCAATTTGATCTTGTAAAGATAATGTCTATTTTTAATATAATTGAACAGCTTTAATAAAAAAAGACTAACTTTTAAGACACTTTTTTGGTAAACGATCCTTTAATAATGATAAGAAATACAAAGTGATCCATAAAGCCTATTCTTCTATCTTATAGCCATTATAATGAAGAATAATATTTCATGAAGGATGCCTAAAATCAGTTGAAATAGATTTTTTAACAGGTTCCATTTCAATTTCAATTTCATTCTATTATTTACTATTAAGTTTATATGGTTAATCATTAAGATTAGGATCTTTAAAAAAATTACCTATCCAATATTTAAATAAATATGATACAATATTCTTATAGAATAAATTCATAATGTCTACTGAAAGACATATAGGAAAGTAAGTTGATCTTATATCTAAAAGAACACCATACTTTGTAATACCTATTTAAATAGTAATTAATATTTATCTGAAACAAAAAAAATGAAACTATATATTGGTTATTTTTTATCTAATTCAGAAGCTAATAAATCTCATAATTTTGATAGTGGTATCTTCTCTATTTGTTCTATTCTTATCTTAAAATCTCTATGAGTTTTTATCAGTAAATTTGATAGATCATATATTTTATTTGCTTTGTCTGATGGAAATATAGTTGGATAAAATACATGATTACTATATACTTCTCAAAGATCACAATAATGATATGCCATATAAGAGTTATGGCTAGTTAAATAAGCGAGTTTTGATAATCTGAGAGTGTCTTCAGATCAGAAAAGTACAGTAACTTTCAAAAGGAACTTCTCATTCATTGCATTATCATAACAATCAACATCATCTATAAAGTTATAATTAATTTGATTTAAATACATATAAATAATGATAACAAATAAATTAAATAAATTACCTTCTAATAAACTTAATTCTTTGACTATTGGCTATATAAAAGAATTGAAGTCTTTTGAAGATTTGGGTTCCAGAATAATTGAGGTAATAAGTAAATTTTTCTTCTTTATACGTTGTTCAGGTGATAAATTAGCATTAATAAATAAAACTATCTAACAATCATTATATTTTTGCTTGAATATTTGATAGCTATTGACAGAACCTAAAAGTGCAATATTATGATCATCTTGAAAATATTCTATTTGTGATAAATGATTATATTGAATGCTATCAAACACATCACCAATGATATCATTAACACCATATCCTTCTCTGGTAACATATTCAGAATGATAGCATAATTGTTTTGCATATGTCAGATCTTGATATTGAATGATGAATTGATCCTGAATGGAAAAATATGCTACTTGGACTTTTGATTGACCTCTCCCTTAATAATGTTTAGCTTTACAATAAATACATTTGTTTAGTGTCTTAAAATTATCAGTAAAGGTATAACATGAGTTTATACATATGTCAACCCAAATCAGCTTAAGAGGAACAAGATCCTTAAGTGTTTTTATCAACTTATACAGGTTTATTATAATATTATTAGATGCAGTAATAATTTCTTTGAAAGCAGTGTTAGTAATATTTTATTAGATCTTTATCTTAAGAAGACGCAACTCTTTAACAACTTCATTTATAATATTAATTCCTATAGAATCATAACTTTATATATTAGTCAACATATTACAAGGATAAGAAGATCATAAATAACCTTTATTATCATCAATTTGACTATCATATTCTGAATTCTGAGACTCTTCAAAATAATCAGAATTGCTTTCGAATAATATCAGTTCATCATTATTGGTTATGGGTCTAGACAGTAATTCTGAATAAGACGAAGAATCACTAACAAATGATATTTCATTTCGATAGATTAGTAAACTATGTATATTATTAAATAGAACTTCAAAGAAACAATATACCTAAAAGTATCCATCATTTTCATCTCACCACATGCATCAATCATTTCTGCTTCATCACATACATCAATTATTTCCATCTTATTAAATTAACTTAATGTTTTATTTAAACTTGATAAATTGTATTTTTATTTATAAGATTAATATAGGTTGTGATGATGTATACAAGTTGATTTACTAATATACAAACTATCTTCTATATTTTTCTGATATCTGTAACATGTGTATAACACCTTTGATATAATAAAGAAATCTAATAAAAAATTGATCAAATGTAACAGAAAATCAGTTTAGCTTTTTAAAAAATATAAAGTAATGATATTTATGAAAGAGTATATAAATACAATATCTAAATATATTTTTTTTTACAATTTTTAATCAATAAATATATATCATTTTTATTTATTAAAAATTGCAAATTTCCTTTTTTGTTTAATTTTCATAACTTTATGATTAGATTATATATAAGATCTAATTCTTAAAAATATCAAAAAGTATACAATGCATCAATCATAGTAATTATGTCATAAATTTAGTAAGACAAAATTTACATAATAAATTAATTAATATAAATAAGTTTAATGAAGAAATTTCTGTTGTTTCTCTTTTTTTTATCATTTCTTACAAAAATATCTTTAATATAATTATAAATCAAGTTATAAAACAACAGTCAATTTTTCTCATTTTTATAACAATGCAGTAATAAGAGAAAAGGGAAAGGCAAAATTAATAGTTAATAATGATGTTGACTTTGAGGATAATCGTGTTTCTTTAAAGAAAGGAAAGGGAAAAGCAAAAGTAATAGTTAATGATGATGTTGACTTTGAGGATAATCATACTTTTTCAAGCGAGGACTTAAATAATGCTTCTTTAGAAAAGGAATTGAATAATGCTTCTTCTACAGTAGCGGTCATAAGTATCTGACCGCTTCTAACTCTGGCTACAAGTAAGTAAATTCAAAATTTTTTTTTTATTTAAAAAATACA